CTTTGGTCAATTCCAAAATTGGGGGAGCTTCCTGTGGAGATCAGCCCTGTGATCTAAATTGCTGCTTTGCTGCTGATTCTCTAGGGAAGGCTTTTTGTGTGGCTCAGGTTTTAATTGTTGGTCTTTTAATGAAAGTTAGGCAGAGGTAAAACTGCTGAAAATTTCTTAAGGAGGCACCATTTTGGAGAACATGTACCATTTTCCTGGATTCCCAAAACAGTAAGAGTTTCTTCTACCACTGAATCAGATTGTAGCCACTTTGGATGAACAATGGATGGAAGATCTGATTTGCAGTTAGGGACAAATTGTGTGAAAAATACATACCTTTAGACATTGGACACAGATACCATGGGTGAGATGCTCTCAATATGGGAAGCACTTAAGAACAGAGACTGAGTGAAAGAAGAGCAGAATCAAGTCTCCCATCAGAATTTTTCTGTACCACTTAAAAAGTTAATTCTCATCCCCTCCCCTGATTCTGTGTGTATGTATGTAGTTGATTTTGCATGTACCACTTTACGTTATAAAATCTTGCCAAAAGCCAAGCAGCTTTGCCGGTCTAGAGAGGATTACTTAATTCTCCACAGTATTGAAAATACTGTTAAATTTTTATTACTTGGTGTAGCATATCCGAAGCCAAAGCTGGTAGAATCAGGTAGCATGTTAGTCATGGGAATATATATTTCACATCTCTCCAGAATTAATCAACAAAAAAGATGGCTTCGATTGTGTAAAATTTTAAAAATGCCATCTGAGATGTAGGCAAACCATTTTACCATGAGAAGAAAGAAAATGTTCACTTTAATTTGGTGTTCTATCTATGCTTATGAGTCACACCCGATTTCTGGGTAGAGGGTTCTTGTTATTTTAGTGTGTTTAGTGAATGGGGGCTGAAAAGGTGTCATGGCAGTGAAATTCTTTTTCAGAATTTGTGAGAAAAATTCAGGTGTCTCCAGTAGCCAGTAAGTATTGACTTTGTGTCCCTCATGTTGAGAATATTTTTTCTCAATCCTATTCTCACAGCAGCACATTGAGGCAGGAGGCACACTTCCATTGGTAGAAAAGTGTTCTTAGCGGGGGTGAGTGATAAAATCCTACTTCCAGGATAAGAAAGCAGAGTTTTTAGGAGTTTGGATTGAGAGCAGTTTGAAAAATCTTCCTCTGGAGAGTCTGTTACACACCCCTAAGAGGTATTACTTTTACTGTCCAATTAAGCATTAATTGATTTAGAACAATGGTACATGATAAATGTTCATTGAATTTAAGTACTAACTTAGGGTTTCTGGCCCTGGCTAAGGGCGTTTCGAATAGTATCTAGTACTAATGTGTCCATTCTATGTTTGCAATTGTTGGCATCTGCCCAAGATGTTCCTTGGAGTATATGGAGTGGGAGCTGTCCCAAAGCTTTGTGCAGGAGCTGAGGGGATTTTACTAAAGAGCTAATAATAGCACGTCAGAGAGGTTACAGCTTGGCTGCCTGTCATGTTTACACGGTCCTTTTGAAAGAGGCTGCCCCAAGTACCACCCCGTAAGAAGGTAGCAAAACAGCCTATTTTTTCTTTTTAAGCACAAGTGGCCATCTTCTATAGCATGTGGCCCTTCCATCTTAGCCACAAGAGAAGAACTAGGAGAGGACTCCTGGCTCAGGAGTGGCCAATCTATTGGCTGTTCAGTGGCTTCTGAGAAAGACTTATACAAGAATGGGGATAGAATCAGATTCTCTCCCCTGTGGCATTTGATTATGAGATATATGGAGACAGCTGGCAACTGGTTGTGGGAGCAGAAGTGGAAAGACAGGTAGAGAGACAAAGAACTGTGGTTGTGCAACTTGAGTTAGTCCTGTGTTCTAAAGACATTTCATGAGGAGTTGGAGCAAAAGCTGGCTCTTTGGCCCTGAGAGCTGGTTGTTTGCATCTCCTCACAGCTCTGCCTGCAGAGACATCAAGTTGGTGGGAGTATTTACACCACATAAATTGGTTAATTCTACAGATCAGGTGTGTGTGCGCCCCATTCCCACCCCTGGCTCCAGATCTGGTTGTTAAACATTTACCAGCATACCACTGAGTTGGGGGAAGAGATAGTATAAGAAGCAGCGGAAGCAATTACCTCCTCTGGGTCCTCTACCTTAAAATCAAGCAATGTTTAAAGTACAATGTTAACATGATAGTTATTCAGGCTATAATAAAATAGACATTAGAGAAAGCTATGTGAAATATATGATTAAAATATCAGTGTCAAACTACAAAATTCATAGGAATGTGGTCAGAGGGTGGTACCCTTCCTGTTCCCCCAGTTAATCAAAGGCCCAAGCCCCACTCCCAGGCCCACAAAGGATGATCTGCCAATCCAGTTAAGCCTCTGGTCTTATTTCCACATGTATTCTTTACCTCTGTTATTTGAGGTAACCTTAGTGCATATCAGTTACTTAAAACTGCAAGAGCCCAGTGCCCAATGAATACAGTTTTTGAATGCTTTTTTTTTTTTTTTTTTAATATAGAGTAAACAGGACAGACTAGAATGGTCAAAAGTATACACACACTTTGGAATGAGGTTTGAGTTCCAATACTACTTCACCCTTTCCTGGTAGCATATTACTTTTCTATGGCCCAGTTTCCTTAGTTGTAAAACAGGGATAGAAGTAATAAGCTCAGAGATATTTGTAAGGATTAAATGAGATACCAGGAATAAACATCTAGCACAGTATCTGGCGCTTACTATGCACTCAGTAACTTTAGTACTTTTTTCCCTTCCTTAAAATACTTATTCAAGTCTTTAGGATAGCTTTTGGTATTGCTGACAGTGAAGTCTGCAAAGTCAATACAATTAACTAACTCTTCACTTACAGTGACATGAATTAGGTTGTAATGACATTGCATTCTTTATAATTTTACATTTTTGTAAATCGTCATTCAACTAAGATATTTTAAATATAGTCATAATTATTACACTCTTTGAGACCTACTTTTCTCTACATTTAGGGAGCTCCTATATTCCAGTCTACAAATTGCTGGGCTCATTTTTGTTTTTAAACAAATATTTAGACTACGGGCAAAGAACTATGTTAGGTGTTGTTGGGGAGTAAGAAAAAGATGCTTATGTAATACAAGGTTAAATATACAAAAAAGAGGAAAGGGAGGGAATACTCATGAGTTTCCTGATATTTCCTTCAAACTACCCAGGTTCTAGGTAATGAATTGAATAGTAATGTTATGTATGTGTCATTTAAATCCCTTATTTATTAATTACAATATATTTACCATTAGTTTACCCAGGTCTTCTGCCCTAAGTCCCTTATAACTGCCAGCATATTAAGGGTGAAATCTGCCCATTTGCCAGGCGTAATTCATGGGATATGGTGTTTTTCAAAACCAGATGTTTTGTGAATGGACTGTTTTTTGGTTTACAGGCCTTAATATTTTGCCAGAATTGAATTTGTTTTGAAATAAGTTTTCTGATTTTCACATATAGCATTTTCAAACAAATAGTGTGATGTACAAATTACCATCACTTTAGTTCATGTTAGATTAATCCACACTCAAAATCTGTTTGACATTTACCCCTTAAGTATTTTGCATCAATAAATCATTTCTGTAGTATCTTAAAATGTTCATAAGTAATTACATAACATCCTACATCTCCAGGTCCTGTCCCATTAATTGGAGTAAAAAATATAGTAATTAAGACATAATTATGTTGTCTTGAAATGCTAACGGTCATTTGGACTTGATTACCTGAGGTGCTATCAGTGCCCCAGAAAAGTCAGGCAACTCCAGGCTTGGGCCTGTAATTAAACATCTGGTACTGACATTTTTGGTCATCAGAGGTGTGGCACCTTTTGAAAAAATTTCAACAGTGCACTATTTAGACAATCTACAATAAAACAAAAGTAGCGTGTGTGTGTGTGTGTGTGTGTGTGTGTGTGTTGGGTGGGGGCGGGGGGTGGAAATGAATAGAGGTTGGAGGTGGAGAGAAAGACCCGTGTAAATTTCAGCATTTAACTTCGTGAAAAACTATTGTTCAGTCAGCCTGCCTCGACTCCATATATGGTGTTCAAATATAAGTTTGGGAAGGGCTGTTTTGCAGTTTTGGCCAAGAACGCACACACACACACACCCACACTCACACCCTGTCTCTCTCTCTCTCACCTGGAACGCAGGCGGGTGGTTTTATGTATTACAGTGCTGGTGTGGTATATATATAGGATGGCTCACCTGCATAAATGGCAGGGCTGCTCCTGACCCACTTTCCCAGCTTTGGAGAAGTACTTGCCAGAACTTTTTATCCCCTCACTACGAAAGCTCTCACCCCCTGGCACGTCTTCCCACAGGTCCGTGGCTCGCTGTCCGCTCTCTGCGTGGTAGTTTCTCCCTTTACTACGCCTTCAAGGGTCTCAGGTGGAAGGCGCGAGGGGGCTGCTCGGCTCTGCTCTCGGGCCCCAACTTTGGAAAGGGATGTCCCCTAGCAGAGGGCCACCTCGCGGTCGCGCTCGGCGGCCGGCGGCCTCGGGGCGGCCTTGGAGGCGGAGGGGGAGGAGGAGGGAGTTGGCGGCCGCCGCGGCCCGGGCAGCAGGCCCCGTCCGCGGCCGGCGCGCTCCCCGGTCGTCCCTCGCTCGTCTCCTATGCTCATATTTGGACTCGGCTGCCCGTGCCCAGGAATTTCCCGTCATGCCTCCCGCCGCCCCGTCCGTCGCCCCGAGCAGGGGAGGGAGGGAGGGAGAGGAGCTCGGACAGCGGCGGCGGCGGCGGCTCGCTGGCCTTTCCATGATCTCTGCTGTCGGGCCCCAACTTTGGAAAGGGATGTCGCCTAGCAGAGGGCCACCTCGCGGTCGCGCTCGGCGGCCGGCGGCCTCGGGGCGGCCTTGGAGGCGGAGGGGGAGGAGGAGGGAGTTGGCGGCCGCCGCGGCCCGGGCAGCAGGCCCCGTCCGCGGCCGGCGCGCTCCCCGGTCGTCCCTCGCTCGTCTCCTATGCTCATATTTGGACTCGGCTGCCCGTGCCCAGGAATTTCCCGTCATGCCTCCCGCCGCCCCGTCCGTCGCCCCGAGCAGGGGAGGGAGGGAGGGAGAGGAGCTCGGACAGCGGCGGCGGCGGCGGCTCGCTGGCCTTTCCATGATTCCGCGGCAGACCCTCCCGCGCCCCCTCTCACTCTGCCTCTGCCTCTGCCTGGCCGCCGCCGCGGCGCGGGGAGCCACGCAGTCCGGTAAGTTCGGGCTCCCTCCCCGCCTCGCCTCACCCCTCCCAGCCTCTCCTGCCACGTTAGGGTGTGACCCCGACCCCGGCCCCCCTCCAAGAGCCGGCTACGCCCCCCTCGGCCTCCCGAGGGACACCCCCTTGCTGAGCCCAGGACGGGTGCTGAAGCGTTGCGCCCGGTGCCGGCGGTGAGGGGCCGAGTGGAAGGAGGTCAAGGCTGCCTTCCCCCACGCCGACGGGAGGCGTCTGGCTGCCTCGCTGACACCTTATCCCGTCCCCGGAGCGAACCTGAGCCCGCGGGAGCCTCTCGCCCGGCGCGGGCCCCCGAGGGAGGGGTCTGGCCCGGCAGCCCGGGAGAGGCAGGGAGGGGGCATCGGCCCCAGCTCGGGAGGGCGTGGGGCCCGCGGCAGGCGCAGACCCCGGAGCCCCCTGCTCGGCGCCAGTCGGCCCCGCCGGGGTTGCCGCCCAGATAACGGGCCCGGGGCGTGGGAATCCGCCGGCCG